AGCCATACCTGGCTGTCTTAAACTTTATAAAAACTGTCAACAGTTCCTATATAGTAAACAAGAAGTAATCAATAATGTTTATTAATGAAGGTCACCATCTATAAAATACTGAGATTCTAGGTTCAACTATAGACTATCATCCCATCATTTATTCAATGGTTGTTGTATGTTGCTTATGAGGGGAAACCTATTTTATAAAAGAAAGTCTTTCAATTATTCGTGTGTGTGTGTGTGTGTGTGTGTGTGTGTGTGTGTGTGTGCTTGCAACGAGATGTGAACCTAGGACCTTCCCATTGAGCCACACCCTTTTGTTGAGGCAGAGTCTTGCTTGCTAAGTTACTAAGTAGCCCAGGCTGAGCTGGAATTTGTGATTCTCCTGTCTCAGTCTCCCAGAGTGCTAGACTTACAGGCTGAGCCACCATGCCCAATTCAATTATCTACTCTTTCTAATAAAGTCTTTTCATGTCTTAAATATTGGTCCTTACCAGATTAATGACAGCTGTATACCATACTGTATGAATTAAAAGTCTGAGCAAAATTAATAAATCCATTAGAATGTAGTTATTTGAAATCTACTTTCTCACTGAATTTAGGATCAAACTACAGAAGAAAATTGCTAACATTCAAAGGTTTGCTTTCAGAAAAATGAAAATGCCTATAAATTTTCCATAAAATGTTTCTAGAACTTACAAGTGACTCCTGGTAATAGTAGATAACAAGTGTTCATTTTAATTAAACTCATTTTTGGCAAACATGAACTAGAGGGTCCTTGGATGGTTCAAGGGACTTCCTGGAATGTTTCTCAACTATGGCAAGAAAGTTTTTCAAGTATCTTCTAAAACATATAAGAATTGCATACTTATTATATACACTGAATTAATTTGAAGACTATCTGTCAGCAACTTAGATCTGTAGTTACATTCCCTATAAAAGGCAAATGATACATAATGAAGAAATATATTACAGCACACTTGAAATTTAGATACACTTTCCAAATCATTTAAATCACTTATGTATGATAATTTGGTTGAGTTATATTTTTAAATTCTTTCCAGCGTCCCCCTCCCTGTGAATAAAGTCATTTAGGAAATTACACTAATTATGCCTTCCTGTGCTTTCTGGCAAAATAAATAAGTAAAAAATAAATAGAAAGTAGCAGAAAGCGTTTTCCCTGTGCTTCTCCATGTTGATTGTTCTTTGCCTTCCATTCTCTCCTTTCATAACTCGTTCCTCCGGCCTTTCTTCTCCAGGCTAACAGCTTCTGTCAGCAAGCTTTTATTCAGTACAGTATCAAAAGCACTGTAGAAAAACGGATTAATCATGTTCACTGCCTCTCTTTGTTTATCCCATCAATTCGTGCGGAATTCAAGCAAACCAAGAAAATGCATGTCTAATCACAAATGGGAACCCCCTCTTAGTTACTTTGGTGCACTCTCTTTAAATACAGCACCTAATTAAAAGTTCTCTAAAGACTAATAAGTTTCAAATAAGGTTACTTCTACCAAATGTCCTCCACATCAATTGTATGGCAGTGCAACACAATTTTCTGTGAACTCATATTTATTATACCTTGAATTCCAAAAGTGACACTTACTATGCAAGTGCCACAGAAATAATTTAGCATTTTCTTTTCCATTTCTACAAATATTCCTTGTGAGACAAATTTAACATTTTAAGAGGACAGTGAATTTGGGGTTAAATATTATTAATTAAATAACAGAAGTCATGTACACTCCGATTTTCCAAAGTGGATTTTTGAATGTCATTATCATTGACATTTCTAAATGGAAGACTCCTCATGAAGTCTTAGCCTTAAAAATAAATGCTATCCTTTATCAGTAAATTTTATGCCAAGCTTTAAATCATATAAATATTGACAATTATACCACTTCTTTCTGTAATCATTTCATGCAGTAATTATTATATAAAATTCCCTCCTCTTCAGGATGGGCTTGTTTGCTTTACTTTTCTGGATGCTACAAGTAGTTTTTCTGAATAGCACTGATGATTTCCTTTGTCAAAACGCTGTACAGGGCCAAGGATTTAGCTCTGTGGCATAAGCACCTGTCTGGCAAGTGCAAGGTCATGAGTTTGATCCTCCGTACCCCCCCAAAAAACCCCAAAACAAACAAACAAAACTAAAAAATGCTGTACAGTTGGAGTCTCACAGCATATCAGGAAACACCATCACCAAAGATCACTAGGCCATTTCTTCTATACTAGGTCCCTCACTCAGCATTTTAGATCACAGTCCTCTGGTCCTTTTAGTCTTCTAGCTAAGACTAAAATGGTCAGAATGTTTTTAGAGCAGAATTCTTACGTCTCGGGTAACAAGTAAAATATACCAAATAGATACAAAGCTCTCATTTGTGTTTTTCAGACTGGTGGCTGGGGGCGAACAATGAGGAAGATCTTTTCTGGAGAAACATGCTATGGAAAAATAGGTAGTTGAATAGGGATTGAGAATACAGCAAGCGAAGTCACAACCTTGATGGAGTGGATTAAAATGGAATTACCCTGGCCATGCTGACAGGATCACTGCCTCTAGGAAGAGTCGGTTGCCAAATAAGAACCCAAGTCCATCCAGTGCTTAAAGGACAACCCATTTGCACATTCTATACATATGTCCAACGAAAAAACTTTGAAAAGAACAAAAATTACAATCAGGGTAGGATGACTGAGAGGACATACATTTTCATTTACTAGAAGAACATTCTTCCAGTGAATTTCATAGCTTAAAAATCCTTACTAGATTACAGCATAGAACATTGTCATGAGAGAATATCTGTTGTTTGATGAATAATAATACAGTCTGTCAGATCTGTGTGGTTTTATTTATGAAGGCGCTGGTGTGAAATAAATACACAGACGATCCATTTGTAAATGGGCCCACGTGAGCAAAGCAGCAGCCGGTAAAGGGACACATCGGACACACCTCAGCTGCAGTGGACGCTTAAAGAAGCATCCTAGGAGCACATTAATCAACACGTTCAAGGAATGCATTAATCAACACTGCCGTCATGGGTTGGCATGCCTCATTGTTTAATTGGAGCATGCTAAATAACACAGAGCAGCAATTTGAATGTGAACTTCCACCATGCTGCAAAAAACAAAACCCTTTTTCACACTGTCTCCATGTACCATATTCTACCCAGATCTTTCAATAGAAATCATCCTTCCCTGTATTCTGAGTAGTTTATGGACTTGCTTGCCACCATGGTAAACCAGAAACAAAGCATCTTTACAGACCTGCTAAGTTTGACAAAAGCTGTAAATGCCTTCTGCAGATATGAAAACTTGAAATCAGTCCAAAAGATTTTTTTCTTTTTCTTACAAAATGAATGCCATCATGAAAGGCAAAATAAAATAAAACAAAACAAAGCAAAGCAAAGAAAAACAAAAAAATAAAAGAAAAGAAAGAGAGAAAAGAAAAGAAAAGTAAAGAAAAGAAAAGCCAAGTATCTATTTGTGTATGCAGTCAATTGTGACAGCAACATACTGCATTACCAGCAGGGGCCTGGGCCTGGCCTCCTGCTCCACACTGGGCTTCATTTTCCTCCTGGGTAGTTCCCTAGATAACCCTGTCAGAATTCAACTCCCTCTGAAAGCAGCCAGGGATGAAATGGCCAGATGCTGGGTGGAAGGGCTGTTCTAACATCCTCTGGCACCCAGGCACAGAGACCTACCTTTTGTGCACACACAGTGTGCGCACCCAAACACAGGAGGCTGTCCAGCATCCCTGCTGTGTATCTCAGTTCTCTCTGTCCACACTTGGAGGAACTCACTTTGTTGTGATCCACAATTAAAGTTCACTAAATAATGGTTTTGGTGACAGCGCTGGTCATAATTCTGAATGAATCATTTGGAATAAGGGTCCGCTAGCAGGGAAATTTATTTCAATAGAGGTTGTACTTGCTGGGAACAAGGACCTTTGGGCATGGGTCCCTTCTGTTTGGTAGCACTGATATAGTCATTTCAGCAAGCCTCAAAATTAAAGCCAATGGCCCACTGGTCTAGCGTTATCTTATCAGCTCTTTTCCTGACAGTCCTAGAAAACAGTTAAGAACTATGAGCCAAACATGCAGCAGCAGAGAAACCAAATCAGATCCAGTCAGTATCTGCAAAGACCTTTTCACAAAGGTCAGGGCATCAGGCCTTTGGTGTACAAATACTAAGTCGCTATATTTCTTTTACTGCAATGACTCAGGCAATCTTCTCCCAATTACACGGCAGGCACTTCTCCCGAGGACTACAGTGAAAGGGTGGAACACATGAAAGCTGCAGTTAGTGCCTAATGACCACCAGGCACTAACTGTTGTGGTCTCAGAAACATAATACCATCTTTTTCATCACTGTTACACCATTACACATCTCCCAAGAAAACGTGGGTGTCTTTCTTGACACATCTTTCAACTGCTGTTTCCGAGCCTTCAAAAGTGGCTACTAGGCTGAGCAGCCAAGAGTAGTGGGCGAGGGATAGGGTTGGCCATCTGGAGAAAAATGGTGTGTCCTCTAAGAATGAGGACAGTGGAAATGCAGGCAGAAACGGGTAAAGGCACTTCAGCCATGGATGCCATTGCAACTCAGAGGTAAGCATCAGGAAGCAGAATTCTAGCTCCTTGCAGAAGCACTGCACAAGAGATTTACTGTGTTTTCATCGCCCCAGGACACATGATGTTGCTTGGACCCCAAACAGAAAGGAAAACCTGGTCAGTAGGCAGGCAGGACAGAAGAAGAGAATGCCCCTCATCACACAGTGATTCAGCTTCCCGGCATGCTGCCCTGGGTGGCGAGCAGCTACTCTGTGGGGACATTTGGCATGATCATGGGGGTGCTGCGCAAGCATGCTAACATTTCCAGAGATGTTCGACTTGGTGGAATCTGGAGCTTGCCCTCGTGACACATCAGGGGAGAAGGGGGGAAGTTAATAAATACAAGAAAAGGCTATCCTGGTTTTCTGGATGACTAAATATTGAGTTAGCTCAACTAATATTCAGCAAGGTAGATATCCTTTACATATGTGTACTTAGTTTGCTAGTTTTTAGGTTTTTGAAACAGAGTCTTGATATACAAGACCTGGTTGATTTTGAACTGCATGGGCTTTTCATTTCAGTTTCACAGGGTAAGTGTTCTTTCTGTAAATACTATGTATTTTCTGAATTTGACTGGTATACAATAACATGAAATAAAATTTCACAGCTTTAAAGTTACCCGATGAGCCAAAATTTGATAGATCTCTTTAGTGTTCAATTATATAAAAAGTTATATTCCTATTTAGGCTTTGTAATAACATATTGGTTCATATTTAAAAATTAAATAAATTATAAGATGAAGTCTTTCTAATTAGTTTTATTATCTATTTGGAATATAATTACCATTCTCCTAAGATGTAGAAGAAATTTTAAACACTTACTTCTACAACCCAAATGAAAGAATAACTTTCAAATCATCAACCAAACATAATCAGTAAATAATTCCAATAACCTGCTAGAGTTTTCTTTTTATATGGTTTGCCAAATGAGAACCGGCTTTAAGGTTTAGCACAGGAATTATTCTCCCGCAGGCTTATGAAGGTCACAGCCAGTGTCAAACTTACTAATGTAGCCCGAACAGAAAACTGGATACAAACAGAACCATTTCAGGAGGGTCCTTGTGCTTCATTGTAGCTAATTATTGAAACCCCATCCTTAGCCAGTCTGTGGTTTACCCAGGTTTTCTAACCAACGAGAAGGCAGACTTTCTATGGAGAGAACTTGCCCACTGGGACAAATGACAAAAGTGAATATAGTCTGTATGTGCAAAAGAACAGGCACAAGTAGCACTTCTCAAAAAGAGACACAGGATGGGTGCGGAAGTTCCACAGGGCTCATGCCTCAGCTTGGCCGCTCACATCTTTCAGATACCACAGCACACCAGTGATCGTGGGAAAAACAACTGAAAACTTTAAGTAGCTAGAAAACAAAAACAAAAACCAACTTTCTCATTCTAATGTCAGAAGTCAAGTCTTGAATAGCCTGGAGGCATTCTGAATACAAGTGTGCTTTAGAATTTCTGGACATCTCAGCAAGTCTTTGTGAGGCTAGGAAAGAAACTGGAAAGACACTCAGTATTTGGTTTTGGCCAGATGAAAGCACCCAGAAAGATAAAATGAGATATTTTAGTGGTTCAAAGTAAGCCTGACAACTTAGTAAAAGGCCAGTCAAAAAGATCGGTAAGAACTATACTCTGAGAAAGATGAAACTGAGTCTTTCTACTTGTGCCGTAAGAAGATAGATGTTTAAAAATCAAGTATCTGTCATGAGATGAAAGAAAGAGAAAATATGCCAGGACATTCCCTCAGAACCACAGAGAGTACGGAAGGAACCAAGCAGAACCCACTGTGACACCCCAATGATTAGACCTGATAGTGCTGCTCCCAGGGGCTCTTTTGCCTTATCTTCTTGTATTTTGCTCTTTCACTTGAAACCACTCTTTACAGTAAGTCTCTGTCCTTCCTTTTTACTTCTCACAGGTATTACACAACGCATTAGCTATAGAAGGACACACTGTAACTTACAAGTGATATCAGTATTTCATTGGCAAGAACTAACAATTGTTGATTTGGTATAAACATACTCCAATCCTCCACATGGGCTGAGCAGATTGATACATCATTTTCCTTTGCAGATGCTTTTTATTTTATGAAATATGGACACTCATAAGGGAGGGGCATATCAGAACTTTGCAATAAGTTATTTTGCTTTAACTAAGGGTGCGTTCTACAAAAAGAGCCACTATACAACATCCAGGCTTTTTTGATATTGATTATGATCACTTAGCATTTTGCTAATCTTTGTTAATTTTCATGTGTTAAGGACACTTCAAATAGAACAAAATTTGATGCTATTTGATGTACAAAGCAATATTCACTTCTGTGTCACTGATTTGGGGATTTCTGATGGTATTTTGAAAGACTGTAAGAACGACTTCATCATATGAAATCCGTTTTAATGCAACACAATGAATGTGAATTCAGCAGAGGCATGAATAACTTCCTCTTAATTATAAAATGACATCTCAGTGGATCAACTTAAGAATTCTCAAGAACGAGGACCAATAGGTTGGAAGGCTTTTACTACCTCAAAAATCTTACATAAGATCTTCTTTTCTTAATTAAAATCCCTGAGAGTATATTTATTAAGTGAAACTTATGAGGCATGGAATTAAATGTCTGAACAACTGTGCTCTCATAATTCTTAAGAAAGCTCTTTATGGGTTGAGATACAGTTCTCTGAACTGTATTCCAGATCTGCAGTTAAGATATTTTTCATCAAGTTCAAGACTATAATAGATGGCCTTTCAGAAAGGCCCACAGGCCTGGCAGGATCTGTTCTAGAACTGATAATTCTAAATGACATAATGGGAATGAGGTGGGCAGTGGTGTGGGGAAGGTCTTTATAAAGCAGAAAACATGTTTCAAAGTGATATTTAAACTTTCAGAACTGACCTTTTGTTATTGAACTTTGCTGTGAGATGAGAAAAATCATACAAGGACTGTATGTTCTTAGGTTTTTGATATATTATGATTGAATCTAAATGAAAATTATTATTAATGTCCCATAATTCTTAATCTTTAGTTTCTTCAGAAACATATTTTTATTAGCAGTGTTTTTAATCTGTTGTCTGTTTTCTGTGCTTTATGAGTCATGATTTAATAAAACAGAAATCTTAATATGACACTAGGAAAAGAAACAAAGGGCTGGTTTTCTTTACTCTATATCTGATCAATCCTCCTTGACAAGGAGGATGATAAATGTTTTTGTGTCTATGTACCTATTTCCTGTCTTTTATTATACTCTCTAGACTGAAAAATATTAGACATGGCAACACTTTCACATAATCATGTCATTTTATGGTATAATCCCTTCCATAACTACTAACTCAAGCATTTTAAGAAGACACACCCCTACCTTTGAAGGTCTTCTTATCTGAAGAACTTGTCCTTTCTTTTAATTCTTTAACCCAAAGGTCGTCTTAGCATTGCTCTGTGGATGGAGAATGGGGGAAAATGTTAACAAGAAATTGGTTGTCATCAGTCACAGCAGACTGTCAATACATTAACTCCAACTGACTCCCTGCTGGGAAATACAATTATAGAGTGAGCCCTGCAAGGAAAGACAAATTATGAATACATTTGCCAGAACATCTTTCTACTGGCTTCAATCAAAAGTGACAGCAGAGGGCTGACTAGAAGTCCAAAAATGGGTTCCAGGCCAGAGTCCTATTTGCTTTCTGTTTTCATTTTAGAGAATAGAGGGATATATATGTATATGTCCTCTCTTCTACACTCCCCTATCTCTCTTCCCAGGGGGCACTTCGGCACTATATATATATATATATATATATATATATATATATATACATATATATACACATATATATATATGCATATATATATGTATATATATATGTGTATATATATGTATATATATATACATATGAAGTATGTCATTGCTACAGACTATTATTTTTTTAAATTAGTAGTACAGGAATTACTTTTTCTGTGTTTGAATGAAGTTCAGTGATGATGCATCAGCCACCTTTAAGGACAAAGCTGCACCTGGGTATGACTAAGGCTCAGCTATGGACAGCTCCAGACTTCAGCACATCCAATTCTATTCGCCTCAATCTGAATCTTTCCTTTGCAAACATTCCAACTAAAAACTGTCCAGAAAAAGGATCACAAATGGGGACTAGAACAATCACAGCTGAGCATGTTATATTTCACTTTTTAGACAGCCAACTCAGTGACACTCTTTTCTAAGAGAGGGTTTGTGTCTTTTTGGAATTTGGATTTTTGAAAACAGAAGTCACACTATCAACCTTTGAAAACATCTTTCAGAGGGAAAAACAAGTATCGATTCAAGAACTCTGGGCTGCACTCAAGTATGAGGGCTTACCATGAATTGCAAAATTATTCCAGGAATAAAATAGAAAGGCATGAAATAATCTCTGCTGCTTTAGTTTGTGCATGTGTTATAAAATATTCTATTTTCATTTGCTAAAAAATTACCTTATTACATGTAAAAACTATTCTTTATAGATTTTCACTGCATCTAACACAGTGGCATTTTATCAGGTTCAATATTAGTGTTGTAGAAGTTGGTGATTCTTTCTTAGAATTAAACTAGTTTTAAAATAATAAAGGTTTTCTTGTCATTTTGGTTCCACATTTTAAAAAAATATCATCTAGGGTGTGCAAGACAGAGTGTATAGGATTTGAAAATGTATCTATGGTAACAATTTAATTAAATAAACTTATTTGAGCATTTAATATGTATCTGCCAATAGAATGAATACGTCTAGTGTAAGGAAAAATAATAAAATAAAAATAAGACATGTTTTCTACCATCAGAGATCTCAGTTTACCTGCTAATCAGGAAAACAGCCAGAAATACCATCAGGCACCCCAAAGACAGTATTTTAAAGTATTGCCAGACTAAAAAAGAAGAAACAATTATTTTACAATGAGACCTCAAAGCCAGCTTTCCAAAGGTGGCACAGAGTAGAGGTTTATGGTGAGTGTGAAGGGCACTCTGGGAACAGAGAAGGGCAGGTGCAGGCAAGAGGCAGTGACTGAGTGAGTGGCGTTGGACTGCAAGCATGGCAGAAGGTTGCAAAGATGGCAAGAGGCAAGGCTGTCCAGGTCATCTGGAACCAGAAGGCAAAGGGCACCAGCCACGTTAGCAGTTTGATAATGATCAGATGATAACCTGAGAACAGTAAGACCCACTGAAGATTTTAGATGAGGGGAAAGAATATTTGTCAGTAGTGTGGGTAGTAACAAGTGGGTAGAGACGGTTAGGGGGGCCACTGAGGAGGTGTTCTAGCAACCAACATCCAAGGATCTTGCTTTCTAAGGTAACCCTTGCCTCCTTCCAAATCCACCCCCAACAAGCACATATGACTCCTCCCTGAGATGCATCAGGATACAAAGATGGAAAAAATTTGAGATTGAGAATACAGACTGGGCAATGGTAACTGCTATTATTTCACATCTTTTATTAATGAAATAACTTGGTGGCTTTTATTTGTCTATTTAAATGTACCTTTATGGGTGGAATTTTGGCATGTGAATGTGGGCATGGTCCTCTCTTCTACACTCCCCTATCTCTCTTCCCAGGGGGCACTTTGGCACTACCCAGAACCTCCGGCAGGAAGCTCAGGCAGGCAGGGTCCTCTTCCTCTGTTACTGTGTGCTGTGGATCACTCCTTCCCTTCACATGGTAGTGGGAATGACTGACACTGGTTTGGGTTTAAGGGAATCGGACCTTGCCTGATGGAGTACTGTGCTTCTAGGCGATTCAAACTGACTCCTTCATCCAGGGGAAAGATAGAAGTCACCTCTTCCAGCACAATAAGATGGAGCTTTGCATTGAGATTTGAGACCAAAGTCTAGCTTACAATACAACTTCACCCATCTTGATTTGTCAGTGTCCCCACTACAAGTATCTTCTTTGGGGATCAGAGAGTGAGAGTATAATGTAGGATTCTTAGGTCACCTGGCTAAAAACATAGTTCAGTCCTTTATTTCCAAGGAATCATGTATGATAAAGCCCATATGCCCTTTAAGAAGGTTTCCTGTTCCTTCTTTCTTAAAATCTCTTCTAAGACAAATTTCTGTATGTGGTAAAATCAGCAGGAATTTAGAGTGCTCCAGTTTGCAGGACCAAGCCTTCTAGGGGAATCTTTCCCTCAAATTTTTGCCAGTCCTCATCGTTTTAGAAGTATCTATACCAGTGGTGCTGAACCTATGGCACCCATGCCTCAGTGGGCTGTTTAAGTCATTGAAAGCTCTAAAAGATTTACCATCACTGACCAATACTATGTGGCAATGGAGATAGTACCAAATATCTAAATTACAGACAACCTGGAGCTACAGCTAAATACTGCAGAGCCCATCAAGTGAAAATATATCAGTAAAATTACTATAATTTTTCCTAGAGATAAGAGAACTAAGATTCAATGAGATGCTACCAAGGGACAGAGTCTACGTGTATATTATAGCAGGTGATGCACCAGTTCCTCAAATTTTATTGTCTCTTTCATCCCAGAGAAGAAACTGAAGCATAGAGAAGTTAAATGTCTCCAAGTAACACAGCCTTTTATTCTGTGTGAACACACAGGCTGTGCTTTTTTATTTTATACTATGGTGTGGAGAAAGGATGGGGATAAAGTTGGGAATTGCACTGAGATTTAGAAGAGGATAGGAAAGATAGGTAAATCAGACTGAGAGAGGCATGGGGAAAGCCAGGAAGAAAGGACGGGCGGACAGTCCAAAAGTTGCAGAAGGACACAGATGGGGTGAACTCCCTGGCTGTCACTGGGTGTTGGGAGCCGCGTCTGTGATAGCTCGCCTTGCGCGGCGGACGTGCGGCCTGTGGTAAAGAGCAAAGCCTGAGGTAGATTACCCCTCCCATCGAATATGTTAGTTTCCTGCTTACCGCGTAAACAACCCGCTCAACAATATAGTCTGCCTGGCAACTGATGATGTTAGCCAATCAGCTTGCCTTGCTTACTTTAACATGATTGGACACTGTACCCGTATATATACCGGTGCCACCCCTGGGCGAAAGAAGAAGCCAGGTAAAAGCCCAGAAGTAAAAGCCCAAAAGGAGCCGCGGAGAGCGGACCGGTAGAGGCTTTGGGGCAGACTGAAGCACAAAAGGAGCCGCGGGGAGCGGACCAGAGGAGGCTTCAGCTGGGAGAACCCAGGGCAGGCTGTACGGAGAAGGAAAATAAAAAGAAAAGGTTGTCCACTACCAGACTTTGTCGTGTGTCCTTCCTGCCGGCCGGGAGCGGACATCGACAACTGGGCAGTCCCCACACCCCCCAGCACCATGTATCCCATGTTGTATGGTCTGAACTAAAGCCTTTGTGGCACCTACTGCCTTTCATTTCCAGGCTTCCCTGCTAAGTGTATTTTTTTTTATATTTCACAAAGGCACATATGAAAATGCTGCTGGGTAGCACATGGAAGAAGATGCATTTGAACAGACATTTTAAAAGGAAGTCAAAGGAATGTGGTTCTCTTGGTAAGTGTTGTTTGCTTTTTGCATCATTCAATAAAGGGCAAAATGTCGTGAACAAAGCATATAAGCAATCTGCATAGGTATGATTCCACAGCATCATGTGGGAGAATGATTTCATCCTTACTTGTGTCATTAATAGAGCCACACTTTTAACTTCCATATGGCAATTTAAATCCACAAGCCTTTGCAAGGACTACCAGAAGACTACAAATTAATTGTATTACCATTTCAGCAACTATGCCAAGCATTTCTTATTCTTTTTTTAAAAAAATAAACTATGTTTATTTTTCACTTATTTTTTCAAATCCATTCCATTTAAAAGGGAAAAAAAGAAAAAATTTTAAATCACGTCAATCGGGCACAATAATGAGAAATGGTTTTTTGTTGCATTCATTAGTCTTTGACAACTGTGTCAATGTGCTTTCATCACTCTGAAATGCACTTAGGTCAACAGAGTAGGCTAATACATCATTGCTAGGGACTGTTTTTCCAATAACCAAGTAACAATTTATTTTTTAACCAAAATACAATCACCTGATCATGTTAAGTAAAACCAGTCCTAAGTCAAAAGGTTAAGAAGAAATTGATGTATTTTACAAGTAGCCTTTGGAAAAGATAAATAGCATCTAGATGAAAAATGTAAAATACCCAAGGGCCATAGCACACATAATAAACCAATTACAATGAAATTAATTCAGAATATACATATATAAAATGTATAATATGAAAAATTCCATAATTTTTAAAAAATGAATGCTTGCTTTCTACCAGTCCTAGAAAAATAAAATAATGGACTTCCTATCTGCCCCAAATTAAATTGCTATTGATTGATATATATATATATATATATATATATATATTTCAGAACTTTTTCATTTTATTTTAAAACAATAATTCATAACATTTAATACAACTGAAAATCAATTACTGCAAACCACCATTATGTAAAAAGTATCAGCAAGCAGAACAGCTCATAATTTTATTTGGATCATACTGATGGCACAACTGTGAAAACCCAAACAATATTTACTCTTTAGTTCTTGTGAGACTGATTTCTAAAAACTGGTCTCCTGAAAGTGGTGGCTAAAAATAGGGGATAGTCACGTATCAAATGTTTGAGGCCCACCACACCAATTCTGTTTTCAGTTGGAATAATTATTCCCTGTTAACAATCTTCAAGACAAATATAGCTGAGAAATACTTTTCACAACCCCAATTTTGAAAACTTTACATGTAACAATATATATACATATTAAGTGCACTATTATGTATTGATGCAGCATGCAAAATTATCTTGCTATTTTATTCCTATAAAATATCATTTAAAATTATTTTTAATTTTTGGCCTGAATAAAACTTGAGTTTTACTAGTATCAAAATCATAGACAAGTCCCTAAATCTCTCTTTTTCTTAACTCCTGCATTTGACATGATCCTTGGATTGAATTTGGGTCCATTCATACTTACTAACTGGAGAAAAGGATAAATACTGTTTAAATTGGCATCTATCTTTGGTTTCTCAGGGTATCCTTATCATCCTGCACCTTCATTCACATTGGCATAGTAAAAGTCCAAAGTAATCTTGAGATCCAGTTCTCCCCATTATAGCAGTCTATGAAATGAAATGCATTCCAAAAAGCAGAAAGCATGGTCTGAAACAAAGCAGGTTCTCAACTACTAGTTTAACTAGACTGGCACCCAGACGGACTCCTCTCTACCACAATCTGGCTGGCCCTATCTTCTTGACCTAACCTTAGCATCAAGTTCATTTTATTCTTGTAAGACTAGTAAATGTAGACTTGGGATCAACTCCATAATATTAATTTTTTATAAATCAGGGTGGGAGCAAGAAGGGGTCCATTCAGACATGAATTTACAAGTGAACCCAAGATGTGCCATGCATTGCTTTTCAAGAAAAAATGAACCCAAGATCCCTGGTAAATCAAATACCCACAAAAGGGTTAAACTGTGACGTTATCCCTTGTGACCATGCAGGCGATGCGAATGTCCAGGAGTGAGTGAATTGCTGTGAGTGCACTGGCAATCATGTTATTGTAATGTTTCATGGCTTCATAGCACAAACAACACCCAAGTCTGGGGGACTGTAGTGGTGATATATCTATTCCTTTCTGTCATGCAGAGTGGCTGTAAGAGCAGGCCTTTATCTAAGTCTACATTTCCAACTCCCTTTGTATCTGGGTGAGACCATGAGATGTAAGACTGGAGCTAGTACTGGATATATAACCTCTTGGCTCAGATGTTGAAGAGTAAGGTCTTTTCTACCACCTCTTCTGTGTCCACGACTGTCTGGATGCCAGTACCAATGCCAGTGTGACCTTAGAAGTTCTATGGCATAGACTTTGTCAGCACGGATCCCTAAAGAGTAAAGAGTACAAAGCTTTCCCTCCACACTGATGTTCTCCATCACCCAAATGAACTATCACATGGGCTGGAAGGACTCTAATTTCACAACATTTCCCCAATTTAAAGGGTTTGTTATAACGGGCAGATCTACCCTATCTCACAAAGCCAGCATATCATGAACATAATAAAATATTAGGTGAATTCTCATTCTCATGGCTCCCTTATTAGATAATACAAAAGGAGCAGATCTCATTTAAAAATATTAGTATGTTCAAAGCAGCAGAGCAAAAATGATTACTGAATATTAAGCTCTGATAGAGACAAAGTAACAGTGTTTACTTCATCTAGGGAGAAAAAAATGTAAAGGGTAAACTGTCGATAAATATACGAAGATCTTAAAATTTTGTATGAGATAGTAAACTGTCTTCCAAGTTCATTAAATATATAACAAATAAATATAAACTTCACAAGATAACCTATAAAATAGTACTGTATCTAAGAAAATAGGAAAGACTGAAAATAAAGAGATTCTGAGAGAATTCAACAGATCTAGAAGAAACCTCTAGCAGGCAGGTCCAGTGGCTTGGTACAGATGACCCTGGGTTACATAATGAGCAACATGTCACTCAGTGTCTACAAATTGTCAAAATCTATGTTGCACACCAAAGGCACAATGGTGAAAAAGCAATCAAAGCATCGGCAAACCACATCCTTCCACACCTTCAGGAACCTAATGGTCCACTTTGGGAGAAGACATTGATAAAACAAGCACAGAAATGGAGCTAAAATACCAACTTTGAAAAAACAGAAGTGTGTGGTCCTCCTAGTGTGCAGAGAACTAGCTTAGGAGAGGCAGTCAGTCCTTCCTGAGGACAGCTGGACTGAGGCTTCCAGGGCAAGGGAAGCACAGTGACGCTGAAGCGGAGAAGGCAAACAGGGCACATGGTCCGAGGCGGGGGCAGGAGGTGGCAGAGACCCAGCCACTCAGCCGGTTGATCTGCCAGCAGCTCTCGTAAGGACAATGTGAAGCTGCTAGATCAAATTATCCATTTTGCTGCTGTCACAATTTTAAAACTACCAACTGAAACATGAACTACAAATGACTTCCCATGTAGCTACAAAAATAGGTGAAGCACTGAAGATTTCAGATGAAAGGCAACATTTTACATATGGACGAGTTATCATGATCAGATAAGAATTATAAATAGTCCTTCAATTGTGAATTCTTAGGTGTTAATCAAAATAGTCTTTCAAGATTCTATTACAATCTATTCTATTACAAATAGTCTTTCAAGATTCTATTACAATCTATTAATGCATCTGATTTTGATTAAAAGTGAGTCATCTGAATATGCAATCCTGGTAAATTAAACTGCTACCTGAAAGAAAACAGACGTATTTGCCAAAGTAAAGTAAGTAAATTCAACTGTTATCTGAAAGAAAACAGAAGTAATTGTCAAAGTAAAATAAGCACATAAATGTCACAAAATATGTTTACCTAGGTGTAATTTGTTGATACAGAAGGTGACAAAGGGAAATCTGACTATTGTACTCATTGTATTAATATATAAGAATCTGAACAAAGAATCACACACAGCATTTACTCCTTTAACCTAGGAGTATCACTTCTAACACAGTGTGAAATGAAAAAAAATTTCTGATATGCTAAGAAATATGTGCTAAAAATAAAAAACTCCACCTTTTTCATTACTTGATTTACAGGAGATATATTCTAAGATGCCCAGCGAATGCCTGAAATCACAGGTCATACCAAACCCCAAGTATAAAGGGATCCCCTGGTTACCAAATGTGATGGGCTCCAGGATCCCTGCAGATACCAAAATTCAAGGATGCTCAACTCCTTGTACAGAATGGCATGGGATTTGCATACAACCAACAGACATCCTTCTGTACACTTTAAATTCCTAACACAAAATCAATTGTGGTGGTGCACGCCTATAATCCCAGTACTCTGGGAGGCTAAAATAGGAAGATGGATAGTTTGAGCCCAGTCCAGTCAAATTGGCAACTTCACAAGACTCTGTCTTTAAAAAAAAAAAGAGAGGGGGTAGTGAGTACGTAGCCCTGGGTTCAATCTCCAGTATTAAAAACAAAATGAAACAAAACAAATTAAAAAAACCAAAACCAAAACAAATACATTTGGAGATCAGTCTAACACAAAGTAACTGCTATGCAAATATTTGTAGTATTGTTTAGGGAAGAGTAACAAGAAAAGACACATGTGTGTATGTTCAGTCCAGATACATTTTTTTCAGAATATTTCTGATCCACAGTTGGTTGAATTAAAGGTTTAGAATCCAAGGAGATAGAGGCCAACTGTGCTAACGATTTTCCTTTACCCACATATTTGTGATAGAGTTTAGTGTAAAAATTTAGTGTACAATAAAAGATTATCAACAATAACTGATAACAAAACAGAATTGTTATAACAACGTGCTATAATAAAAGTTATTAAAATGTGTGAATTATTTATTTCTGGAATTTTCCTTTTCATATTTTTAGTTGACTTTGGGTAAATGAAGGTGAAACCACAGATATGGTGAGATTACTGCAACAAGGATGTCCACATGCTCACTATTTTAATTTGTGCAGATGTAGACCTTCAGGAAGGAGGGGGCA